TATTCTAAATCTCTTCCAACAGTCACAATGGCCAATGGGTCTCAAACCATGGCAACTGCAATAGGTCAAGCAAGCCCACTTCCTTCCTTACCTTTAGATTCAGTTCTTTATGTTCCCAATAGTCCTTTTAATCTCATAGTTGTTAGTCATTTAGCCAAATCACTTAAATGCGCTGTTTTATTTCTTGATGACCTTGTTTTTATACAGGAACACAGTACGGGCATCGATTGGTACCGGACGTGAATCAAATGAACTTTATTACTTTATCCTTGCTAAATCACATGGACTCACATCTTCTCTTTCTTCAACAACTTGTCCTATTACTGATTCACCAGATTTATTACATAAACGGTTGGGACATCCTAGTTTGTCAAAACTTCAGAAAATGGTACCTAATTTATCTCACTTGTCCACTCTAGAGTGTGAGTCATGTCAGCTCGGTAAGCATACCCACTCCCATTTCCCTTGGCGTCTTGATAATCGAGCAGAGCCACCTTTTTTTTTAGTCCATTCAGATGTTTGGGGTCCTAGTCGAGTCAGTTCTACCTTGGGAATCCGCTACTTTGTCAGTTTCATTGGTGAATATTCCAGGTGCACTTGGATAATTTTAACGAAAAAACGGTCTGAATTGTTTTCTATTTTTCAGACCACGCTGAAATTCAAAATCAATTTGGGGTTTCTATCCGCACATTTCGTACTGATGATGCCCTAAAGTATTTGTCTTCTCCGTTTCAGCAATTTATGAACTCTCATGGGATTATTCATCAAACATCTTGTCCTCACACATCTCAACAAAATGGGGTAGCTGAAAGAAAGAATAGACATCTTATTGAAACTACTTATACCCTACTCATGCAATCTCATGTTCCGTTGCATTTTCTGGGGGATGCAGTTCTTACATCTTGCTATCTTATTAATCGTATGCCATCTTCAGCTATCCAGAATCAAGTTCCATTCTCTGTCCTGTTTCCTCCCTTACCTTTGTTCTCTTTTCCACCCCGTGTCTTTGGAAGCACGTGTTTTGTTCATAACTTTACTCGAGGAAAAGATAAGTTAGCTCCACTTACTCTTAAGTGCGTATTTCTGGGTTACTCGAGAACGCAAAAGGGGTATCGATGCTATTCTCCTAACCTCCGGCGGTACCTTATGTCTGTTGATGTTACCTTCTTTGAAACCCGGGCATACTTCACAGGTCCAAGTAATCACTTAGATATTTTTGAGGTGCTACCATTTCCATCTTTTGGAGATTCAGTCACTATCTCCCATTCATCTTCCTCTACAACTCCAGCTCTACCACCTACAGCTCCAGTCCCACCATCTATAGCTCCAGTTCCACCACCTAGTCTAGTTCAACCTTCTCAGCTCCACCATTCCTGACTTATTATCGTCGTCCGCACCCAGCATCAGGCCCACCTGATTCACGTCCTGCACCAGACCCTGCTAATACTGCGGACTTGTCTCCTTCTAGTCAACCGATTGCACTACGGAAAGATATACAGTCCACACTTAATCTTAATCCCCGTTATGTCGGTTTAAGTTACCATCAATTTGTTTCATTCCCGGTATCAATGATCCGTAGCGTATTGTGTTCCTGTATAAAAACAAAGTCATCAAGAAATAAAATAGAGCATTTAAGTGATCTGGCTAAGCGATTAATGACTATAAGATTAAAAGGACTACAGGGAACATAAAGAACTGAATTCAGAGGTAATGAAGGAAGTGGAGTTGCTTGACCTATTCCAGTTACCATGGTTTGAGACCTATTGACCATTATGACCGTTGGAAGAGATTGAGAATAGGACATAGTACTGGAAGCAGATTCATTACCAGAAATATGATCAAGTGCTCCTGAATCAATTATCCAATTACTATAAGAAGAAGATTGAGAGACACAAGTAACGGTATTACCTGCTTGAACAACAATAGCAATCTCAGAAGATGTCTGTTATATGCGTGTACGGAAGGAACTCTATATATTCCGATAAAGAAAACATCTGGATTGGATTTAGTGCATTGGATCCAACAAATTGTGAGTCAAAGGCTTCCGATATGAATGATATTAAAATGGTTTAAGGTAGATCTCAGTGACCAACTCAAGAATTTGCTGCAAAAGTGTTGCTGGTAGACAGAGATTGGTTGAGAAGTCGCTGAAGAATTTTGAAATTAGTAAGACTAGCTGTAAAAGCTCCATTCGAGTTTCACACTGCAAAATAAGTTCAAAAACACTACAAGAAAATAGAAACTGTTCTGGAAACGGTGCAAGCTGGAAAATCACTGTTCACGCGAGATAATCAGAAAAGTTGTTGGAATTTCAAAAAATGATATGGATAGACTCGGGATCACTTGACGACAAAACTGGCCTGAAGGACTTTTTTCAAAATCTAGCCGGGAAGTGTCTCACGCGCCGGCGTATGAGTCTGAACCTCGCCGGAAAAACTTCTTCAGGCGGCACGTGGGGGCGCGTGAAGGAGTCTCTGCCGGAGAAATTTCAATGGGTTGGTTGCTGGAGACTAATCTACCTCGTGGTGGTATTGGTTTTTGAATAACACCGACGGAATATGACTTCAACATAGACAGCCTTATAGTCACCGAAAAAACTATACGGTTGAGTGATCTTATCTTCCCGGAGTCGCTGGTATTTTGCACAGCGATTGATATCTAATGGTTGCTTTAATACCATGTTAGAAGTAGCATGGGAAAAGAATATTATTTATTATATTAACAATATAATACAAGAAGTCTTATTTATAATTATACTCTATATAGTACATAGTACTCCTATTCCAATGTGGGGCTAGGCATACTTATAAATATATAACTATCTAACAGTAACGTACTCTCATAATATGTTGTCGACACGGGCTATTTATCCAGCATGAATGATGCATGAGAAAGAGAAGGAAAATATGTTTTCCCTTAGTTGATGGATCTTAAGCACTCCCTTACGTGTGAGTGAGATATGTTGAAAAACATTAGCCTTTTGGGCCAAATACACCCATAAGGGGTGCTAGCAATTAGCCAGCCTATTAGGCACTCCAACCCTAACCCTACCGCAGTCTATATAAACAACACTATGGGTATTGGAAATAGACTCCAAGAGAGAACGACTAGGATTTATTCTCTACATCATTAAGGAGAGTAATTCCACTTGTGGGATTACACTTGGTGGTTGTTGTTGTTGTATCATTATCGCGCCCCCTTTTTCCTTCGAAATCGGGCTTCGACATGTGACAACTCTTTTAAATGGGTATTAAAAGAGAAGAGTCGCCACCTAACGGGTTTGAGGTGCATTAAGGCACCTATTTTGCAGATGACTCTGTTTGACTAGTCAACATCACCAAAGATCAGGTAAGGGCTCAAATTACCTCAAAGAGAAGGTGTTAGGCACTCTTCCAGGTCCACAACTGTGGTTCCCGGCCGAATTATAGACTATGTGAGATTATTGGGTTAAACTAGGTTGTAGGTTGCTGAGTTGTGAATTAATCCTAAGTGGTCAAGTATATACATCAATTAAAAGCAATTAGTTAAAACTAGTCATGGAAAAAATATAAGAAATTCGGGACAGATACAACGATTCTTGAAATCAAAACAAAAGCTAGACTGAAATTGAAGAAAATGGAATACCTTATATATAGAAATTTTTATGTTAGTCATTAACCTTTTATCTCCTACTCGAATTCTCCCCTTGATCAATATTTTCTCCTTCTCTGAATACCTTGTAAGTTTTCCACACATGTCTCATAATTTAGATGTTTTATAACTCTAGTTTTAGATATTTGAATTATTTTTAGCCGAATCCCCGCACCCATATTCGTATTCTCAAATCTTAAAATTTAAATCATGAACGATCTGGACCTCTAGATCTGCACAAGTATCGGACACCCACACCCGACTCTGAGCAACTTAGGATTTAACTATCCGACATATGAATCTAGTAAGGTCACATCTTTGAACTTCAATCCTACTTGCCTAGGCTAGCATATGGACCTTTGCCAATCAATTGGCTTGTGAGAGGAAAAGAAGGAAAAACTAGAAAACGCCATATTTCTACACGCTCATTATAGCCCGGTGCACAAGCTCCCGCTATGCGCGGGGTCCAGGGAAGGGCCGGACCACTAGGGTCTATTGCATGCAGCCTTACCCTGCATTTCTGCAAGAGGCTATTTTCACGGCTCGAACCTGTGACCTCCTGGTCACATGGCAGCAACTTTACCAGTTACGCCAAGGCTCCCCTTCCCACACGATCATTATAGCAAATAAACTATAAACCGATGGAATAACTCCTATAATAACTCCTAAAATTCATTTCTATTGTTAATGAAGGCCAACTAAAAAAGAATGAAGCTAACATGACAATGTATACAACCATCTGAAGGTAACTAAGTCGGTTGGATAAAACTGCGGTATAATACTAGTCATTTGTGACTAGGCTATTGCGACCTGGTGCAAAGACCCTATCCTCCAAATATGCTCTTAATTGAACAGGAAGAGACACAGGTTGCTGTTGCATCTTGCCAAAAGAACTAGCCTCGGTAGAGAACATTTCAGAAAATGTACGATCACATACTTATCCCTAATGTCTTTCTTAAGCCTGATAAGCAATTTCCGGATCAAGATCTTAGTCTGGCTGGATTTGTTTGATATGAATTACCATAGTCGAGCTCGTGAGCTTAATTAACCATTACGACATGCTAAAATTACCACTCAAGAGCAATATCTAGTTAATTATGTGTAATAGACAATTCATTGTATAAGGTTAAAACTCCTCTCTTCTGTTGGCATGGAATAAAGCACGTATTTGTCAACTTCTTAACACACAAAAGCACAGAAAGTCCAAGTTTCTTCCTCAACTACCTATCAAAAGAAAAAAATCTTATGGATTAGATAACAGTGAGTTAGCCGCATGTGCTCCTCCAAATACCTTATGCAAGAACACTAAGCACAGGCTTTTGAAGTGATGCATGAATGTTGTACGCAGTATGCACAAGTACATCACGATATACTTTAAGCTAATTCCCCAATAAAGGAATCTTTTGTTGTTGATAGACAAGAACTTTGTTGTACACTATTCAAACTCCTGTATTTTCTGAAAGTTGCACGCTTCGGGAAGCTTATCATTAAACAATTCATAACTGTAAGGTAGAGAGGTAAACACATAAAGTAAAGCTTACACGACATCTATGTTGCGCAGAGAAATCTAACCACATAAGGCGAACAAGTTTAACATCCGTCAATGGGCCATTTAACTCTTCCTTTTGGAAGGGAGATGATAAAGACTGAGATTCTGCATCGGAATATCTTGAAGAAGCATCAAGCTTGTAGAATTGCTTTGCATTTTGGGCAAAAATATCATTGACAGCTACAAGAGCTTCTGTAATTGAAAGATCACCATCGATGCACGCATCCCATAGAACTTTGAACACCACTTCACGTGCTTTCCTCGCACCTACAGAGAGAACCAAGTCAAGATTATAGTTATTACAAAGTACAGAGCAGATAAAATAGGAATAAATTACTTAACTAACGTGTTATTCAAGCTCGATGTTTATTGTTTGGCAATGATTTTCTTTTATGCAAAGATTCTAAACCCTATATGCTTGATCAAAGTGAAAAATTGCCACCACACCCCATGAAGCAACATCCTCATTTATCTTACTATTTAGCATATTGACTAATAATAGTACAAATTCAAACTTGAAAGGCATAAAACTATCCAGTAGGAAGCATGGAAAATGGACATGTGGAAAAAAAATATTGGGTAAGCAACACCAGAATAAATTATGAGGTCAAAAGCATATCAAACATGTATCCTCTATTGTCCAAGCTCCAACTAGAGTTTTTTGGACAATAACTGTGCTACAAGGACATGACATCATGTTATCACAAGTGTTTGTGCTTCTCAGCTTTCCAGTCATATAAAAAGGATACTTAAGATTACCAGCAGAAGCAAAACTTTTTCGTATTATCTTTAGAGAAAGCAATATGTACAAACTTACCATTTCATTATCCCATTAATAAAGATAAGAACATCTGAGGACATACCTAAATAAAATCTTTCAGCAAACGCGATGCCACCCGTGTTGATCATGACCTGATGATATTTAAACATTACAGGGCAAATGTTCACTGTTTAAATGGTGCAGTAATTAAAGTGATGAAGAAGTAGTCAATACAAGATTTTGGAAATGCTTAGGCTGAAGTGAAAAGATGGGTTATTAGGACTTCGGTAAATAATTTGAGCCAAGACTTGGTCATAGTTTTATGCTTCGGTAAATAATTTGAGCAAGACTTGGTCATAATTTTATGCTTTTCTAAGTACATGAATAACCTTATTCATTGGAGCGAGCTCTAGAATTTCTTTCAGTGAGGATACCATCCCTTGGAAGCTAAGTTTAGGTATCGCCAACCCAAAATCAAGATAGACCTGTAATATATCACAAATTTACCCTGTTAGGGAGACAAACAAACATACAATCAACATCATATGTATGTGGAGAACTCTCCAATGTGGAAGGTCACACCAAATACTCCAATTAAAAGTTGTCTTATCATCAGAGATACATGTTATTAATAGTTTTAGATAGAGAAGAACATACTTGAGGGTACACGGAAGCAAGATATGAAGCTTCCTTTGTTAGAATAGTCATGTAAATAGGAGTAAATAAATAACCCTAATCCAATATATATTAGGAGTAGGACATGTTATGTGTGTATATATATAGGGCTCATTGTAACATATGTTAATGCATCAATAATATAATTTCTCCTGTGCTTTCTCACATGGTATCAGAGCTATCGTGAGATATTTATCGCTGTGCGTAAATTCCAGCGACAAAAAAAAAAAAAAAAAAACCTTTTTTTCCGGCAAAACAGCACTGTCCGCAAGAAAAAAATCAATATCCGTCCGTGTTGTGCAAAAACCAACACCACCACGAGATAGATCAGCTTCCGGCGACCAAACCACAAAAATTTCTCCGGCAGAACCTCTCCCACGCGCCCTCACGCGCCGCCGGAAAATATTTTCCGGCGAGTCTCCGTCGTCACGCGCCGGCGCGTGAGGCCTCTTCCGGCCATTTTTTGGCCGAGCGTCTTCAGGACAGCCTGGTCGCACAGCAATTCCGACCCTACCCATCCTGTTTTCGTTTGATTCCGACCACTTTGAGTTTTTCCGGCAACTACACTGATTTTTCCGGCAGCTACAGTACTTTTCCGGCAAACACAGTGTTTTCTTCATCTGTTTCAGAGAATTTTCAGTTGATTCTTTTTGTTATTTGGTGATAATCCAACCATGTCTTTGGGAGTCGATGCTTTCGGGTCTAGAAACCCGGGTTCTGGCAATTCCGGTGTTATGATTACCTCAGAACCTTTAATGGGAGGTTCAAACTACTTTGATTGGGCTTCATCTGTCGAGTTGTGGTGTAAAGGTCAAGGAGTTCAAGATCATTTAACAAAAAGGCTAGCGAAGGTGATGAAAAGGCCAAAACACAGTGGGAGAAGGTCGATGCTCAGTTATGTAGTATCCTGTGGCGATCTATTGATTCCAAGTTGATGCCCTTGTTCCGTCCATTCCAGACATGTTATTTAGTTTGGGAAAAGGCTCGTAATCTATACACTAATGACATATCTCGTTTCTATGATGTAATATCGCGAATGACAAGCTTGAAGAAACAGGAATTANTCAGATTTGTTTGTTGTATTCTTATGCTTATTGTAGGAGTTGTACTTAGATGTTGTGTAGTAATTGGTGAAATATGTTGTGAGGTTGGTTTGTAGTAAGTGTGGGGTGGGTGGTACTTGAATTGGGCTATGTATGAGATTTTGTGGGGGACCCTTGTTGCAAGACACTTAAAAAAGAGTTGTGAGAGCCTACTGCCCACAAGGTGTTTGTGGAAAGGTCTCAATGAGCGTGATTATGTAGTTGTGACCAATTTTGCGTGTGAAGTCTGAGTAACCGCATTAAGTCACAATATTTTTGTTGGGCTGAGCTAATGTGTTCACGTTTTGCAGGTATTATGGCACCATCACGAAAGCGCCAAGCCACAGGTCCATCATCAAGCCTCCAAGCTGGCACATCTCGGACTCAACGGGCAGCCCCTGCACGTCCCTATGACAGCAGCAAATTTGTCTCACCTGAGGCTCAGACCCGTTTTACGGAGAAGGATGCAAGAAAGCCAATTCTGGAGAGGGGCATTGACATCAAAAAGGTCAAGGAACGATGCCCCCACATGTATTCGGAGTTGATGGAGCGGGGTTTGCAGGCCTTCATTGATGAGCCAGGGGAGGCTAATGTAATGGTTGTGCGCGAATTGTATGCTAATCTGCCAGAGCATGTCAACAATGTGGTCACGGTGTGCCGCAAGGCGGTGGATGCCTCCATTGAGGCGATACGCACAGCATATCAATTGCCCGACCCTCTGCCTGAGAATACGGACTTTTATGAGTATGGGCGAAAGCCAACAGTTGCCAAGTGGGAGCGCTTCTTTGATGAAATTTGCGCACCCGGAAAAATGGTGGAGTTGCTGGAACACAGAGAGAAGTTCCACTCCTCCGTCTTAACTCCAGAGGCGAAGAACTGGTTGTATGTGATTAACAGTCGCCTTATTCCCTCCAAAAATACTACGGAGGTGAATGGACCCCGAGCTGCATTGATTTGGTGTTTCATCAAGGGTCTTCCCTTCGACATGGCCAAAGTGATCCACGACGAAATGTTTATCCGGTGCCCCCAACGCACGTATGGGTTCTTTTTCCCCTCTTTGGTAACTAAGCTTTGCAGGCAAGTGCAGGTGCCCAAAAATACTCGTGTGGACGGGCTGGTAAAAAAAACCACAAGATCCGACCTGGCAAGAACACCACGGGGCCAGCCCCAGCGACAGCGGCAAGTGGAGAGGATGAGAGTGGTTCTGATGCACCGGAGGAGGAAGAGGATGAACAAATGGACGTGGAGCCAGCCCCAACAGCACCGTCAGGAGCAGCATCCTCTTCAGGAACTGCCAGAGTGTCCCGGTCCACCGCATTGGAGCAGGAGGTGGCTGGTCTACGCACCTCCATGACTGAGTTGGGCACTCGTGTGGACGCGATAGCTGACCGACAAGTAAAGTCGGAAAAGAAGTTCATGGGTTGGCTGCGAGCTCTGGGGCGTACGTGCAACGTGAACCCCGAAACCGTTTCCGACTAGGAGTGAAGCTTCAGGGAAGTCCCTTTACCTCACTGCTCTTTTAAATTTTAAGCCATGGGGACATGTCTTCATTTTTAAGTGTGGGGGTGGGGATTCCTTCATTGTATGTTGTATGTAGTTGTATAAATTAACTGTTTGTTTTGTTTGTTTCATGTTGACTTGATAGTTTCTGTTGAGTAGGAGTCGTTTGTTAATTTAGATAAATGGCTCGGCTCGACGACGGATCCCTTTCGACGGGGTTCTTGAGGGACTGAGTCGAGAAAAAAAATGAAAAATTGTAGGCTCTTCCTGATGACGGATCTTTTAGACGATTTTCTTGAGGGAAGTTAGTCTAGAGAAAATACCAAAAAGATTTTTTATTTTTTTCTTAGGTAGTGTAGCAACTCCCCCCTTGGTTTTTCTTTAGGCCGCGGTTCTTTTCCAAGGGTTTAGCTTGAACCGGGCATAGGTAATTTTTATTTTGTTTATATTTTTTATTTGTAGATTAGGGTAATGGGCTACGAGCTATAAAAAAAATTGAAAGAGAACCCATAGCGTTGACACACCTGAACACAATAGACCCTAGAGTGTAACGCTTAGTCCTAATTGTTGAATCTCACTGAAAGTGCCTTAATTTGTATGTTTGTTACTGAATTGAATGCTCGTAACGGAGCGTCTTGATGAGCTGATCTGAATGAGTCATATGCCATGTGTGGTGAGTGTTTGTGTAGTCCATGTATGGTACTTGTGTCTAGAACTTGCCCGGTATGTGAGTTGAAGCGAAATCTTAGGTGATGCTCGGTTTGAAAAATTATTTTAGGCTTTCTTTGACCTTTTTGAGCTTAATTGCTTATCACAAATAAAATTTGTCCCTAGTTAACCCTTTTGAGCCTTTAGACTTTTATTTGGCACCCGCATTACAAGCCTATGCCCTTTTGTTCTTAATTGACATTGTTTTGATCCTTTTACCTCTTAAAGCACTTTAATTGTGAGGGGAGCGCTAAAAGAAGTAAGAAGGAAATAAGTGTGGGGTGGTTTTTGAGTGGAACCAATAAAAGGAAGAAAGGTGCACTTGTTTTGTAAACGAATACACCACTAGCGGAAATTGAGTGACAAGAAGAATAAACTGGAAAAAAAAGAGATGAATACATTGTGTCTTGTTCCAGCTAATGGGTATGAATTAATAGAGTGCATAAAGAAGAAGGGAGTATTTGTGTGATGATATTGTTTGTGAATGAGAAGTGGGTTGAAAAATTTGCGCTAAAAATTGCTCATGTGATGTGTTAAAGTGCTTAGGAGGGTTAGTCACCATTCCTAAATGTATCCTACCCGTCCCTTAGCCCACATTACAACCATGAAAAAGTCCTAATTGATTTTGGGTCGATCAAGCCTACATTAGTAGAGATTTACATTAAGGGCAAGCTTATGGTACCAATTGCATGCATGTGACTTCGTTTGTGAGAGTGAGTGGTTTCCTTGATATATGTGAGTATATGATTCAAATGTGTGGATTGAATTCAGTTTTTGTTGATGTGATTGTGAGGGCATATGATTCGTGACGGAAAAGCAAGTCTTGACTTCTGTGTAGAGTACTTTGAGGAAGTGTGAATATTGCATGGCACTTGAGAGTCGGCTTTGAGGCTAGGATTGTTCACTGCTAGGCGTAATGTATGTACATTGTTCTAGGTGTAATACGCTAGGGGAAATGGTTGAGTGAAGGATTCTCTAGAGAGTATAGTTTGATTGCTCGAGGACTAGCAATGAATTAAGTGTGGGGTGTTGATAATAGGCGAAATCTAGGTGATTTAGCTATTGTTTATGCTTTCGCTTGATTATATTCCAACGTAATAATATGGTTAATTGATGAAAAATAGGCTCTAATTGTGATTTGTATACATTGCAGGATGAGGAGCTTATATGATGTTTTCAAGAGACTATTGGAATGATTTATGAGCAAGAACTACCCCATCGGAGCTGAGTGTGCGCAAGAACGAGTCAAAGAATAGAAGAAATCATGGCCCAGATGCGCGAGCAGACACGCGAGTTAGCGCAGTAGTTCGCGCGCGTTAAGGGCTGAGGCAGAATGACGCGCGAAGTGACGTGCGAGCTCGCGCGAGGCCGGTCCGGAAAAGAGTTATTTAGGGGTAAAATTGGAAATCTGGAGAGAAACCCACTTAACCTATATAAAGTCAAGCTCGCCCAAGGTTAAATTATCAAGGTTTTCATAGGGTAAAACTTACTTTTGAGAGTACTTTGGCAGGAGAAACAAGTGTGAGAGATCACCCAAAACATCATTATTCTTATTCTGTTTTATTTTTCTTGCAATCTTCGATTATGAATCTTCTAGTAGTTTATTCCCCCATTGTTATGAGTAGCTAAATACCTTAATCTAAGGTTTTGGTGGAACCCGTTGGGGATGACTTGGTTGTTTTATTAATATAGTTGGATTTGGTTGTTAATCTCTATTTGTTCATCTATGTTTTGATTGTGGTTAGTTGAAAGGGCCCTCAATTATCCGTTCCTATTTATTATGTATCTACTTGAGAGAGAGTCCATATTTAGGTGATTGTATGAACAACATCACTCCCGGAGTATAGACGAGAGTCATAACCGAGGGTTTAGAGGTTGGATTAGAGATAACGATACCTCGGGTGCAATCTAAGTGAACCATATTGTGAATCTAGCTAGCGTAGCTTGAGAGAATGCGTCTAGTAAATTATCATAATTGCTTGAGAAAGATTTATGATAGCTGGAGCGTTCATGATTGATAGAGACAACTAAATCATAGTTATAAGACATATACAACCAAGGAAATTACCAACGGGGGAAACCATTGCCTTAGACCTTATTCCAACTGTTTAGACATCAAGCATAGTTAATTTCCAGCTGTTACTTATTTTCAGTCTTTAGTTGTTAGAAAAATCAACCATTGTGAATCAAAAAGTTTGGGGAAACAGATTGTGTGAATTTAGTAAATCTGACAATAGTAACTGATAGGTTAATTCTCTGTGGTTTGACTCTGGGCACAAATACTCAGATTATATTTGCAACGCCCGCGTAGTCTTTTGCGAGACTCAGTTGAGCGTGATCACTAACTCTCCTTCTCAACTAAAACAATTGACTATAGCTCACAATTATTTACTTAAAATATTTTTTTATAGAAATTATTGTAAAGATAAGCAAGTTTGATATATGCAAAGTATAGAAATAGCCATTTTTAAGACCCACATTAAAAAGTATTCGAAATTTATATAGGTTTTCAATGTTTAAACATTTTAGAAATAAACTTATAAAATGCAAGTCTAAAGTTAAAAATCGCGGGTTTGAAGTTTCTAAATATAAACATATAAGTACCAAATCGAGTTATGTCAAAGCATAATATCACATCTTTTATTTAAACTCTAAACACGAGGTTTGAAGTTAAGCTTTGACATAGCCAAAAGTCTGAAGCTAAGCATTAAATAATGTTTAGGGATGTATTTATAATTGGAGTGACACAAGCGGATGGAAAACACAAAAAACACCATAAGTGGATGTTGTTGATATTTTGTCCCCGCTTGCTCCATGAGCAAAAATTCAAGTTTAACAAAGTATTATCCTTCTTTTAAATTTTGACCTTGAAGTTTTGCCTACGGGACAAGTGGTGGTCAAAAATTAAAAATCACCCCAAAAGTGTCATATTTATGCAATTTTTGGTTACCAGTGATTACATGGTGTAATGTAAAAATTGCACGGGGCGCCCTATTTGGTCGCCCCCATTTAACCTATACCCATTTTTTTTAAAAAGTTTTAACTTGTACCCACTTTTTAAACAACTTCAGCCCCCTTTCTCCTCCCATTCTCCTCCTCATTCTGCTCCTTCGTTTTCTTCTTCTTCTTCTCCTTCTTGTTCTTTCTTCTGCTGCTGTTGGTGCTGCTATGAAACTTCAGTTCATGGGATGATTGCCATAAATATGTTTATCAGATTATTTAAAAATAAATTATAAATAATTATGTAAGTTAGTGGACAATAATTTGTGAATATTTCCACGTACATAAATTAGTAGACAATGATAATTCTGTTCTTTTCACGTTTATTGTTTCCAAAATTTATGATTTAGATACTGTTGGCAATATGATTATTTATCTAGTATGTTAGAAAGCTTTTTCAAAAACTTCAGCTTATATAGTGCTGAAGTTTTTACAAATGAACTAAATAACTTCAACATCTTCTGCTGAAGTTTTTGAAAAAGCTTTATGACAAAACTAATGAATCCAGGACAAAAAAACTTCAGCTTTTAGTGCTGAAATTTTTACAAATGAACTAAATAACTTCATCATCTTCTGCTGAAGTTTTTGAAAAAGCTTATCCAGGAAAAAAATACTTTAGCTTATTTAGTGTTGAGGTTTTTATAAATGAACTAAATAACTTCAGCATGTTCTGTTGAAGTTTTTGAAAAAGCTTAATGACAAAACTAATGAATCCATGACAAAAAAACTTCAGCTTATTTAGTGAAATTACAAACAAAAACTTCAGTAAATAGAGAACAAAACTTCAGCTACTATGCTTAAGTTCAGCAATTACAAACAAAAACTTCAGCAAATAGAGAACAAAACTTCAGCTACTATGCTTAAGTTCAGCAATTACAAACAAAAACTTCAGCACACTTGGTTCAGCACACTTGCTACTTCAGGCCCGTCTACTAGAATGCTGAAGTTTTGCGTGATTGTCTTTCCTACTTCAGCCCCGTATGCTGAAGTTACGCGAAAAAGTGGGTACGCTTGCAATTTTTTTTGCAAAGCAGGCACAAGTTAAATGTGACCCAAAAAGCGGGTATAGATGCAATTTTTGGTTACCAGTGATTACATGGTGTAATTCCTACACTTTGGGTCCATTTGTGAATTTGAACCTTAGCCCAAGCCCAAATTCCTTATAAGCAGTCTGGACAAGAAACAAACAAATAAAGCCCAAATTCAATTTTGCGCCTAAAATCTTGCCAAAAACCCTCCTCCGCTTGCCCTGCTCGTCTCCTCCACCTCTTTCTGCAACAAACACCTCACCTCTCTTCTCCTTCGCAGACGAAATCAAAAGGTACTCTCTTTGTCTCTCTCATCTCTAATTAGACCAAAAGTCTATTCCTTTTTGCAGTGAAGTTTACTGCTAAATCAAAAAAATTTGTGAATTGGATTAACCTGCTGTATTTGCTTCTATTAATAGCTCTGATAATTTGCATTTAAGAATCAGTTTTGACTAATATAAAACTTATTGTTGAGTTCCGCAGAGGGTGTTTGTATCCGCCGCCGCATTCAGAGGTTTCTCACAAACATGGAAGGCGTCGAGATGGAATTTCATCTACCGGAAAATGCTGACGTGTCCTCAGATGACTTCTGCAACACGGTACTATCACAATTTAGCTCAGCTAACAACGAGCACCACGTCCACATCTGCACCGCCATTGGTACAATGTCACAGGAGCTCAAAGACCAGAACCTTCCTCTTACCCCAATCACTTACTTCGGCGCTACGAGTTCCTCGCTCCAACGCCTATATACCTCCTCCCCTGAAGGACCACCATCACACCTAATCGATGCACTTTCCACGATTTTATCCCTCGTCCTTCCTAGAATAAACAAAGCCATTTTGAAGCAGAAATACGAGTATTTGTCTAACCTTATGATTCAATTGCTTGGATTAAAGACCATTGGTATCGAAGGGATCATTGGGTGCTTAAAGTGTGTTATGCACTTGCTAATTGTGGGATCCAAAGGGAACTGGTCGGATGTTGCTCAACTCTATGGTGTGTTTATTGGTTATTTAACGGATGATCGCCAAAAGGTCGCTACTTTACTTCTTTCTTTTAACAATTTTAATAAGAAGTTAGATTATTTTTGTTCCTTTGGCCTAGTGCATGCCTTTCTTTTGGTTAATCTATCAAGTGCTTCTTTAACAATATGGAAATTGTAAATGTCGGAAGAGCATAAGTTGTGTGTACTGACGCTGCAGGTAATTCTCTATACAAACATTGATTGGTAATTTTAAGCAGTGTTGTCAAAGGTCCAAAGCTCTAGCGCTCCAGGTGTGAGAAACGCAACTGAAGTGTGGGCTTTTTTAGAAAAAGGTGCAATGAAGGAGATATATATATATATATATATATATATATATATATATATATATATATATATATATATATATATATATATATATATATATATATATATATATATTATATAATCTGATGACCGTGTGTTTGCACGTTAATAATGACACGTGATGGTTTAACCATTTATTTATATGAAAGAATAATAAAATTTAATTAATGAGAGTAATTTTATTGTATAATAATACAACAATCAACTAAATGCCGAAAAATATTATTACATTAGCATAATACATGAATTTAAAATAAAAGGACAGCATCAAAAATTACAAAAATGGTTCAATTTTGTCGTGTTTAGATAATTTTTCTGAACAATATCTTTTTTTGTGTATGTTACCTCCTAATGCGTTTGGTTGATTTGCCTTAAATCTGAATTCTTGATATCCTCTTGAAAGTGTAACATACTGTTGTTCGTGCAAGAAAATATATTGCGGTAAATATAGACTAATATTTAGGATGTTTGTCCTTGTATATTTATTATATTTGCAAGACATAAACATTACTAAAATTATTTCATATAAATTTAAAAGGATATTCCTTAGTTTCGGAAGACGAAAGTTGAATTAGGGATAAAATTATACTTAGAAGCACAATGACCAGTATCATAATTTTTGCATGTATGACGTTATTGTGAAAACTTCTATATACTATCTGTGTGCTATTACATAAAGTTATTCGGTGTATCTAAGTTTTTGTAGCATGACGGACATATTTTTCTTCAAATCAAACCTATATATAATAGAAGATCAATTTAACTTAGTCTATAATATATGCGGTGACACTAAACGAAAAAAAATATTAACCTTGACAAAACCAAAGTGTATGGTAGAAGGCAATTTGGTATAAAAGTATTTAAGTATATTCTTCTTGGTAGTAATTATTGGTATCATTTCTGCTGAGTCAAAAATTGAAAAATTTTTGTTTTTACTATAAAATTTTTGCAATCCACCTTACTTAGTTTGATCAACATATTCATTTCTGCTAGTTAAGATATCTTTTTAATTCTATCATGCGATTTGCACCAATTTGCGTTTTAATCTAATGATAGAAATATTTCTCTTATTAAATCACACTATTATTACCATTGGAGTTGATAATCAAGTGTTCAGTGAAGAACCAAATCATCTTTATTTGGATGCTTTTCTTCATTTTCGACCGAAGCAAGAAGACACTAAATCTTGATATTTCTTACTTTATATTTCTTGTGAGTTGAATCTTTTTCATTAAGGCCAAAAGTATAACTTTGGCAAGTGAGTTATGTTTTTGTCGATTTTGGAACTGTGTGTAGTACTTGACAGAAATCACCTCCCAAACCATTTAATTTTCCACCAAACGGTTCATTAATATCCAATATATCTCTAGAACTCCGGGCAATTATTTCGATCGTTTGACACTTAGCAATAAGTTCTTCATACCATAGTATCAACTTTGGCTTTTCTTATAAATTTGTGATGGTTATTTAAATTGTTTGAAGATGTATATCAAATCTAAAGTGGGTGGTCTCATAATAAAATCGTTATTGGTACATCACTTGCTATTATTGTTAATAGTGTCATGTCCTCTTGATATGATATTTGCAAGTAGCGTGACATAAAAATTTATTTCGATTTCCACCGGAGGCATCTACAAAGATTTATCCTTTAACAGTGCCAGAGCGATCTTTGTAATATAGTCTTGAAAACTTGTTCTTTGTTTAAGATTTAGCTTGATTGTGTTTCCTTAGACACTTGTATAACATTTTGATCTCTTAATAATATACTAACCTTTTTAAATTTTATCGTTGTAGTTCTTTCTTTATGGAAAATTTATGAACCCTAAAAAATTTTTAAACGCGAAGAAGAATTTTACTCATGAATTTAAAAAATAATTGAATTGGATTCTCTTTAAATAATTAATTAAAAGATCTAATTATTAGTTTTAATATAAAAACATTTTATTCTATTTTGATTCAAATCTTAATATTAGTTCACCTCTTGTTTCGAATAATCATCCACCATAATTTTTTTTTTCAAAGACTAAAAGATTGATCTGACATTTCGCGTTTAGATCATTATGTTGTGTAGATCATTAGTGCTATTGACTCTTACCAACCATTTTTTCCCCCTTTTCTCACCATATTTATATTTTTAAATATTTTTCTTAGTTTGTTGTTTAATAATTGCATATTTTTCAATATTCACAAGAAATTGATTTAAAAAATATTATTTGAGTAGGAACGTAGTTCAAATATAATATAAAAATATATTATCGTGGGGGTATTTTTATTCTTCTCAATTTTAACTTTTTATGCAGTTCCATTTAATATTACCTTTTTGTGGGTATTGACATTATGGAGTGGTTAATGTATTGCCATACAGCAGGATTAATTTTTTATGAAATTAATTTTATTAAACGTTCCTACATATTATAATAAGAATTTAATAAATAGAATTTTATTAATTTTAAAATTCTAAATATTTAAACATTAGCGTAGAAGATATTGTAGTCCAACAAATAGGTTATTGCAGTTATGTCCTTTTTCCTATGAGTTCTTTCATTTTAATATTTTATGGTTATTTTGGTTCTATTTGTTACTATTATTTTGATAATAATATAGGCTCTTCTTTTTCTAAATAAATTTGGACAATATAATATATTTATCAAATTAAATTAGTAATAGGACATTATAATACATTTTTCAATTTAATTAGTAATAGAAATTTTTAAGAAGTATATCCTAAAAGTAATAGGATTACATAACTAAAAATACGTATTTCTATCCCGAAGTAATTTATCTATCTATATCTATCTATCTAATATCTATATCTTTCGGATGGATAACCTATGTTGGATAAATTGTCAAAGTTAAAACTTTACCATATTAGGACTTTAAATTAATTGCAATTATAATTCTAGAATGAAACCGTTTTGCTAATGGCCTCAATTATTTTTTGTGCGTAAATTTTTGAACAATGGCAAAATGTTGTAGCCTATCACTAATTAAGTTAGAAATAACTTAATATTAAGGACTTTGAGTGAAGTATGAATATTACAAACTTTAAACTTGAAATTTTAATCGTTTTATGATAAATGGATTTTTAAAATACTATTTGAAAGTTCCTTTTTTTTAATAAACGACATGTAAGTCCCACAATTGTTTGAAGCTTGCTAACACGCTCCTTTTAGATTTTTTTACTTAAATTATTAAACCAAAACATAAAAGATGATGAGATGTATGTACAACGTGTAGTATTATATGGCTATGCCCGAAAGTATTATACTAAGAGCATTCCTAAAGGTAATCATGTAGGATTCATAATGTGTAGTATTATGTCCTAAAACTAATAGGATTATAAGACTAATATCTAGAATTCCGGCTATATTCCTTTTTTATGAGTTATTATGCTTAAATATCTAATGGTTATTTTTGTAATCCGACATCGTATTCATGCTTTATAATAATATAGATATATAATATTCAAGAAAAAAGAAACAAATTCATTCACAATGTTCCCCTCAACAACTAATGCTTATTTGCTTTTTATTTCGTTGTTTAGTACAACTCGATTCTAGATAGAAATCGTGGGCAATGAGGCTCATGCTTAGTGCTTGCCTACACTGAAGTGGGCAGCCCGGTAAGCGCTAGCACGCCGCATAAGCCGCAACACTTCTAGAAATCGCTATAGCAAATACATAATACATTGCGGGCTATAAATCATGGAAAGTGACTGAGTCTTTGGAACCAAGCTAGAGATGAAGAATACAGACAAAGGAAATGTCACATGCGTAGAACAGTAGGAAGAAGCTAGACTATCTGAAAGAGAGGGAGCACGCAGATGAGCAGAAAGTCAAAGAAAAAAATGAGACTAAGTACGAGTCTAGGAGGGGAAGGAGGACCTGCAGGGTGCAAGGAACTAGGGAAGATAAAAGAGCGATGAACTACAAATCCGAGTAGCAAGGGGGAAAGTTAGAAATTGGTCGGGCAAATAAGTTAAACTTCCATGCGGAAAGAGTCTAGGCAGCGACGAAATATCTGTATGACAGATAGTCATGACATGGAAGTGGGGCTAACTTAAGGAAGGGTTTTCATGGTTTATTCTCTTGAATGTCGATCTTGATATATTCACTTCAATCCAGGTTTCTTGTGTAGAGCAAAGGTGAGCAGGTTCTCTGTATCCTGCGTTAGGCACCATAGTAAAGAAGCGTTTTTTGAAGAACAAGATAGTTTATCAACTAAGTAATAGCTGTGCTTGCACAAGCTTAGTAATTCCATGTAGTGATATGATAAGTAGGATGCATGTTTACAGGATTACAGTTGAAACTTTTTTGATTTCAACAGTCATGGTTGGTACCCAAGTTAATAATGATGTGTCCATAAAAAGATGTGTATATGAGCAGAATGATATTTTTGTGAGTTTGATATTAAGGTAATGTTATGTTTATTTCAAAAAAGAGTTATTGGGTACAGCCATGCCCGGCCGGAATTCTTATCCTTTTTTTAGATTCCATAATACTGCTCTTTGGCAAGGACGCACTACGCAACCATATTCACAGGGGAGGTGCAGGTCTTATGTATTTGCTGATGATATAGTTCTGAATTGATGAGACGCGAGGAGGTGTTGAGAGAGGCTAGAGGTTTGGAACAGACCCTTGAGATCAAAAGGTTTCAAGTGTGCAGGACTAACACTGAATACTTGTG